TACCCACTCATACTTAATTTTTCCAGTTCCCATTGAAATATCACAGAATATTTTATGTTCTAAGGGGGAAAAGAATAAGTACTTTGATTTGTAAATTTGGGTTACATCTATACACATTGTACTTGGCCTTTTAAAAAATTAACACTCAACTGAATTATGAATTAATAACAGTGAATAGTGTAAAATGTTTTCATGTTAGAAATAGTAAAAGAAACACATCTAATATGGGCAAATGTGCAGAGTCAGTGTTCAGAGAATCATTAGTGCAAACCACTATGGCTAAGGGAAATAAATACATCCTTTCTTGGGTTTATAGTCTTATCCTTTGTCTGCTATTTCTGCTTTCTGTTGGGTATTTTTTCAGGATTGATATTCAAGCTGTGAAAAGCATTCTTCCATCAGCAGAGGCTGGCACAATGGCAGGCTCTTCAGATAGCAGGGTTGGCATTTTTTAAATTCACTCCGGATTTGTTAAGTGGTTTGCAGCTGAGAAGCTGGATGCACTGACTTTCCACTGTATGAATTTTAAAAATGCTCAGAGACAAGCATCTCCTGAAGAATTAAGATATTCTGTGGGCCATGTAATCAGCACATTATCAAAATATATGCTGCTTTGATTATTATAGTAATCTAAAAATTGCTAATTATGTAATAGCATGCTAACTGAAACATAATTGCAGACAATACATTATTTGATGTGTGTTCCTGTTATTGGCAAACTCTGGGACTTGTTACTGATTATTCCTGGGCAAATCGAAATTTGTCCCCAAAGTGTTAAAGACTCAGTCAAGGCTAGAAGCACTTAAGCAGGCTTAGAAAAATGACAGTTTTCTCCCATGAGAGTCACTGGGGAAACATCTATCAATGAAGGGTATGAGAAAATTGGATACAGTAAGCAAGAGCGAGGAAGATTTGCAGTAAATGCATTCTTCTCTTTGCAGAGGTTCTAATCCTCACCCTTCACCTATCCCATCCCACTGAAAGAGCTCGAAGTTAGAACTTTTGTTCTTTATATGTATAACAATAACCATTTTTAAAAGTTTTTTGTTGTTGTTGAGGTAGACCATTTTTAAAGTCTTTGTTGAATTAGTTACAACACTGTTTCTGTTCTGTGTTTTGGCTTTTTGGCCACAAGTCATGTGGCATTACCAGCTCCCCAACTAGGGATCGAACCTGCACTCACTGCATTGGAAGACAAAGTCTTAACCACTGCACCATCAGGGAAGTCCCTGACAGTAACCAGTTTTACATTTCCTGTTGTTGTTGTTTGGTCACTTAGTCGTGTCTGACTCTTTGTGACCCCATGGACTGCAGCACTCCAGACTTCCCTGTCCTTCATCATCTGCCAGAGCTTGTTCAAACTCATGTCCATTGAGTCAGTGATGCCATCCAACCATCTCATCCTCTGTCATTTCATAGCCATTGGAAAACCCAAAGACTCAGCATTGGTAGGATGAACTTACTCTTTAAAAGCAGCTGGACTATCAAATTTCATTTGTCATTACACTTGACGCAAGGATTGCTCTACCTGTGTCACTATAAACAATGTGTTCAGAACAAAAAGAGTGGGGAAAAAAAGAAAGGGAGGAAAAAAGAGTCTGTCAAGTTGGGGAGGGAGGAGGAAGGAGAACAGAATGGTGCATCTTTTGGAAGTCAGAAAAATCACTAAGATGAGTTTATCTGATGTCTTATCTAAATGGTATTATCAATTGTAAGCCCATCCAAATTCTTTGGAAATTTTTCTGACTGGAAAAAACAAGTAGAATGATAAAATACCTATAGTGAAGTAGTGCTGATAATTTGACTTTGGAACCTCTTAGGTTAAGAAATTAAAATGTATTTTGATAATAGCAACTCAGAAGCCGTATCTTCCAGGCTGCCTCCCCAACATATATTTCTTCTTACCATTGTTCTACCAAGACCCCAACTTTCCCAGTAGCAAGGTTTAGGTGTGACTAACCTCACCCTCAGCTCCAGGGTGAGCCCTGATTGGCTTTGGTAATTCAAGACATCCTATTTCTTATGAGAATTATTTAAAATTTTATTATTTTGGCCACACTGAGCAGCATGTGGGATCTTAGTTTCCTGATCAGTGATTGAACCCATGCCCCCTGCACTGGAAGCGCAGAGTCTTAACCACTGAACTGACAGGGAATTCTCAAGATATCCTATTTTCCAAGCCACAGGGCTTGGTTCAGGAATAGACATGTGATCCAGCTGGTGCAGTGAGGTACAAGAAGAGATGTTTAGGAACTCTCTGTGCAAGAATTATGTGAACTTCCTATAAGAGGCTTGCCCTCTCCCCGGAGAGACAGGATCAAACTAGCAGTCCCAGCTGTAGTTGGCAGAAGTCTTGAGACCTTTACAGGAAGTGCCCTGAAAATGAAGTTGACTCTATGACACACACAAAGGAGATGTAACAGGATCCTTGATAGCATCTTCATTTGGTAAATCAAATTTTTTTAGATACATATATTGTATCAAGTGCATCAGATATATATATATAATATGTATATATTGCTTCTTTTTAACATTTTATTTTGAAATATATTTTAGACTTACAGAAAAGCTGCAGAAGTACTCAGAGTTCCCATAGACCTCTACCCAGCTCCCTAACCTACTGCTCAAAAGGTTATAATTTCTATCTTTAACTTGTCACTGTCCACCTTCAAACAATATTACACCATTTCACATAGAGTGTGAGTCCAGTTAATTCCTTCCATTCTTCGTGTTCTTATCATCATACACTTGATTTCTCTACACGGTAAAATCCACAGATAAGTCCTCACTGATTTTGTTTTGTATAGTCAATTATTTTTTGAATAAGGGGAAAAGTCATTAATATTTGCTCACATATTTTCTCTTTTCAGTATTCTTCATTCCTTCATGTAGAGCTGAGTCTTTATTAGTTTTATTAAGGATCATCTTTCAATGGCCTGGAAAATGAATTTTCTTTAATGTTTTTTGTAGTATGGTTTTGCTACCCATTAATTTTCCATTTCTCTGTTTGCTGAACATTTCTTTATTTTTGTCTGTCTTTTTTGAAAGGTATTTTTCCTGGATGTAGAACCCCAGGTTAACGTTTTCCCTCTTTAATCACTTTAGAAATGTTGTTTGTCTTCCAGTTTGCATTTTTTCTGATGACTCAGTGATATATATTTTCTTCCTATATGTAATATCTTCCCACCTCTTATCCTCATACTGATTTTTTTATTTATTATTTTTTAAAAATATTTATTTGTCTGCATCAGGTCTTCATTGCGGTATGTGGGATCTTTAGTTTCAGCATGTGGGATCTAGTTCCCTGGCAAGGGATTGAACACAGGCCATCTGCATTGGGAGCATGGAGTCTTAGCCATTGGACCACCAGGGAAGTCCCCCTCATATTGCTTTTAATATTATAAGTTTATCATGGTTTCTCAACAATTTGGTTATGATTTTTTTTCACTTGATTTGAAAATTTGGGAGCTATGATTTCTTCACACACCTTTCTCTTCAGATGACTTCTGTTTTCCCCTTTTCCCTCTTTTTCCACACTCCAGTTACAGGAATCTGGACCACCTGATATTCACTGTCCTACAGGGTGTCAACGCTCTGTTCATTCCCATTTTTTTTTTTTTCATTCCCATTTTTTATTTCCCATTATAGTTTGTTACTAGACATTGAATATATTGAATAATTTTCTACTCTGTTCTTTTTTTTTCTTTCTTTTTTTCCTCTTGTTTCATTTTGGGTGGTTTCTTTTTTCCAGTGCTTTTAAGTTCATTGATCTTTTTTTCCCCCTGAATGTCTAATCTACTGCTAATATAATCCAATAAATTTTTGATTTTATATATTGTATTTTTCACCTCTGAGAGATTCCATTTCATTCTTTTTAAATATATTTTTTTCTCCTCACTATGTTTCTGCTTTCTGTTAGATACTTGAACATATTTATAATAGTTGTGTTAAAGGCTTTTTCTGCTGATTCCATCATTGCTATAATTTCTGGACCTTTTTCTACTTTTTGCCTCTTTATTGACTGGTTTGCTTATTGGGTGCTGGATATTGTGAGTATTATTATGTTGTTGAGTATCTGAATTTTTTTCTTTTTGTGAAGGGTGTTGAGCTTTGTTTTGATTACAGGCAGTTATTTGCAAGTCAGTTTCACCATTTGAGGCTTGTTTATTAGCTGTTTTCAGGTATGTCTAGAGTAGTCTTTAATCAGAAACTAATTTAATTCTACTACTAATATGTAACCCTTCTGGAATCTCTACCCATTGCTCCAAGTGTTCAGCATGGTCTTGGCATTCTGCAAAGTCAGAACCTGAATATCTCCCAGCCCTGCATGATGCCTAGGAATTGCTCAGCTTATAAAATGTGCAAATTTACACATTTCTCTGTCTCTGTCTCCCACGTATCCAAGTTTCTCTGGAACTCTGTCTCTGCTGGTCCTCTCTCTGCACTCTGGTCTGAAAGAGGCTGCTAGTTCCCAAACATGCCATCTCTGTTAAGCTGAGGAGCCTGCCCCACAGCTTCCAGATTCTAAGCCACATGATCTCCATGCCCATCCTGACAAACAGATAGTTCATTCCTGCTTCTTCCCAAGTATGTCAGTTCCAATTAAGTTGTGTTGTTGGAACTTAGAGTCCCTGGTGGCTTCGATGGTAAAGAATCTGCCTGCAATGCAGGAGACACAGATTCGATCCCTGGATTAGAAAGATCCCCTGGAGAAGGAAATGGCAACCCACTCCAGTATTCTCATTTGGAGAATTCCATGGACAGAGGAGAGAGTCTTTGGACAGGACTGAGCAACTAACACTTTCACTTTCAAATCATACCTGGGACCCTAGCTCATGTTTTACTTTCAGTCTCTGAACTCAGCCTTTGGGGGAAAGACTTTTACTTCTCCAGCTCTGACCCTTCTCTCAGGTACATGTGGTTTACTGTCCCCAGACTATAAGGAGTTTGCTGTCTCTGCCCTTCATTGACTGAGGTGAATGGGGATGTTCTTCCACCAGGTGTCCCAGCTCTCACCTCCCTGGACCGGCTCTGAAGTTAATGCATGCTGGAATCCATGCAGGTTGAAGCAGTTCTCGACTAGAAGAGGTTTGTATATCTACAGAGTTGGGATATACTGGGATCAGCATCTGGGAAGGTAGCTTCACTCTCTCCTTGGGTTCCTAGAATATCTAAAATCAAACAAGACTCACCACTCAAGGGAATCCATTTCTTCCTGAGCCTGCCCTACCCATGAAAAAAATTATATTTTTCCATTAACATTCTTTTGACTTTATTTCTTGCAAGTGAATGCCCTGACTTTTTAGACACAGAGAGCATTCAGAGCTTCCCTGCCCAGAGTTACTCCACAATGAAGCTGACCTGCTGGACACGCCCTGGTGTGTGTGCATGCTAAGTCACTTCAGTAGTGTCTGACTCTTTGAAACCCCATGGACTGTAGCCTGCCAGACTCCTTTGCCCATGGGACTCTCCAGGCAAGAATACTGGAGTGGGTTGCCATGCCCTCCTCCAGGAGATTTTTCCTACCAGGGATCAAACCTGCCACGTCTCTTACATCTCCTGCATTGGCAGGCAGGCTGTTTACCACTAGCACCACTGGGGAAGCCCTTGGAGAACCTCAGATCCAATTACTTCTCTAATTCTGAGAGAAAGAGGTAGATGGACCAATGATGGGGAAGGAAAATCCTAGTGCTCAAACATTTCACAAACTATGCCAACAACTTAGACAAGAGGATGACCTACTTTATAGTCAAATTTTTTCCAGTACGTGAATCACGGGACCTCCCCCACCCTTTTAAGCTTCTTTTCCAACATAATTCTATAAAACATACTGTATCAAGTGACAACCCCCAGTAGTAGACAATAGTGTATTTCTGTCAAGAGGGAACTGTTGTAATATGGTTGTGTTCTACGAAGCTGGAGATACGATTCTAATTACCTCATTTTTCTTTTACTTCTTTTATTCAGTGGCAGACTTATCACTGCAGATCTAGATTCTCTGAGGAAGGAACTGATATTGTGCTCCAGAGTGATTTTCTGTTTCTCTCTGCCTTTATCTTGGTAAGAGGCAATAGTCTGTCTACAAAAGTGTGTTACTCCACTATTACATTTTAGAAACCAAGACGTCTCTTAGAGACGTCTAATATGTATCACTTATTTTCAGAGCTGCTTTATTCTTGAGGGCAAAAAAAAAAAAGAGAGAGAGATAGCTGACCTAGGCCCCTGGCTAGCTGACAAAACCCTAACTGATTTTTCTTTTCTTAATTTAAAAGATGGCAAAATGATTTTTCTTTTTTTAATTTAAAAGAAGATGATTTATCTGTGATGAATGGTCAAAAAATAAATGATTAGAGGCCATGTGCAATCAATTTGCCCAAGAGTCTGGGTGAAGCCCTGGACAAGCACACAGACTGCAAAGGATTGAATCCTGGCTTTTAAACTGAGTTTATGTCTAACTTTAGGCATAATATTTTCTCTCTCTGATCTGTAAAAGGGAATGATAATTTCTAACTCACAGATTTGTAAGGATCGTGTGAAGAAAGTTTTAGATGCATCTGTCACATGGTATTCATTTTTTTTCTGTTAGTTTTTATTATATGTTTCCCAAAACATAAATTGTTTTGAAGAATCCTGTGCATGTGTGCTAAGTCCCTTCAGTCGTGTCCAACTCTTTGCGACCTAATGGTCTGTAGTCCATCAGGCTGAAGAACAACCTTATACTAATACTTACAAAGCTTAATTTTTATCCTTTGGGGCAATCAAGTTGATGAAAAATGTGCAATAAAAATATTTGACATAGAATTTTAAACTAATTTTAACATTAGTACTGAAATAGAAAAAAGTTATATGTTGACCAGAGAGATACTTAGAAAATACTCAAAACCAGAAGAAACCATGAAGTATTATTTTAAATGTTTTATTACAAATTTTTTTCTTTGTTTTATTACAAAGGGAAATAAACATGAAAAGAGCAAATCTCATTCATAAACATTTGTCCAGAGACAGCAATATTTAAAGCAGCAATAGATAACTTTATCAGAAGTTTTGTGGAACATTTTTTCCCACTGACTTCAATTATGATTTCAAGAAAAAAAAATTAGTAGTATGTCTTAAATTTTGTTTCAGGCCTATTCTATTTCAAGTTCATGCCATCTGTGTTTAAGACTGCTAGACCCAAATAACCATCAATAGTTACTTAGGAGGCAGTAAATAAACTATGGTACATCCACACAACAAATGTCTACAGTTGAAAAGGACCCCTTTGTGCTAATATGGGAAACCTCACCCTAGTATTAAATGAAAAAGTGAAATGTAAAACAGTGTAACACCTTATGCTGGGTGGCAAGTATATAAATCTGTATCTGTTGTATGCACAGTAAGTCATACAGGAAAAATACTTCTTCTACATGCTAGAAGTAGTACATGCTTCTACTATGGAGGAGAAAAGGGTGGATAGGCACAAAAATAGGAGTGAGATTTTGTAACATATGTATGTTAATAATATTTTGATTTTTAAAAATGTGATAGAAGCCTATGAGAATATAGCTAAAATTTTTAAGGCCATGAAAATGACAGGACAAAATACTGTTTAGTGGAAAAGAAGGTTCTGGAGAAGTACACACAACATGATGCCATTTTTGAAAAATTGCAAGTTTCTGTGTTCATATACACAGAAATATGCAGTGGAATTTTCACCAAAATTGTAATGCATGGTAACATTTCAGGTCATTTTGGCTTTCATAGTTACACTTTTCTAAATAATTTGAATATTTTTTATTTAAAAACAATAAAATGGGACTTCCCTAGTGGTCTAGTTGTTAAGATTTAGCCTTTCAATGAAGGGGGTGCCTGTTTGATCCCTGTTCAGGGATCCCACATGCCTCAGGGCCAAATATCCAAAACAAAAAACAGAAACAATATTGTAACAAATTCAATAAAGACTTTAAAAATAGTCCACATAAATTTTTTTTTTAATTTTAAAAATAAAAGCAGTTAAACTATTAATAAAGGCTGATAAAAATCCAAAAATCATAGTCAAAAAGAAAAAAAAAGCAGGAGAGAAAGAAAAGAGAATGGAAGAGGAGTTGAGAAAAAAGTGTGGCTATAAAAATTCACATCTTCAACTCCTTCAAGTCTTTGCTCACATTTCCCGTTGTCTGACCTCACCAGTCTATTAGCAGTGTGATCTATACCCCTCTGCCTACCCATCGATCCCCCTTATTCAGTATTTCTATTTTTCCATAGCATGTATCACCTTGCAGCACAGTATTTTAACGTATTTAAGAACATTTTTAAAAGCCTGGCATTTAGGAGATGTTCTATCAATGTTTGTTGAGTGAATAAATGAGATCTCCACTGAAGGTTGGTGTTCCACTGAACTGAACAATAAAACTTGCTTCAATGAGTGACATCTTTGTTGGAGAAGGCTGAGAGTTTTCCTCACTTTGAATTTGCAGTTCAGTACACAAAAACATTGTTAAGTCTTTGAGAAGTGGTTCAAGGATAAGAAAGCTTGTAAATACATTCTGTACATTCTCCTAAGTCACTAAGGAAGTAGTGGTTGAGTTTTCAAACAAGAAAATTGAGTCACCTGTTCCCTTCCTTTTCATTCTGTTTTCGTGGTTCCTATCATCTTTCTCTTATTTTCTTATTTGAGCTGGATTTTGTTCTTATGTTTGGGGCCTTAGCAACAGGAGGTTGTGGGGAGGGTGAATACAGGATCTGAATGGGCTTGGAGCTGGAAACTGACACCTTAAGAGCAGTGGTCCTGTGTTTCCCTGGTGGTCCAGTGGTTAAGAATCTACCTTGCAATGCAGGGCACACTGGTTCAATCCCTGGTCCAAAAAGATCCCACGTGCTACTTGGCAGCTGAACCGGTGCTCCACTACCACTGAGCCCAGGTGCCACAATCACTACAAAGCCCGTGTGCCCTAGAGTCTGTTCTCTGCAGCAAGAGAAATCACCTCAGCGAGAAGCCCTCACACTGCACCTAGAGAGCAGCCCCCGCTGGCTGCAACTGGAGAAAGCCAGAGCACAGCAACGAGGACCCAGTGCAGCCCAAAATAAGTAAGTAAGTATTTTTTAAAAGAGCAGGGGTCCCCAACCTCTGGGATCTTCATCTGAGATGAAGCTAATGTAGTAATAATAGAAATAAAGTGCACCTAAAAAAGATACAAGAATAAGAATGGTTGGGCAGGAGTCCAAAGTGAGGCTCTTGAGAGAAGAACTTAGGGAATGTTCTGAGTCATCATTTTTTAAGACACGTTTGCAGAATATAAATTCCCACCGTTATTAATACATTTTATGTAAACAAAAAGGGTTCTGTATTCAAATCAGTTAAGGAAACACCATGTTAGATGTGTTAGGTGGTGTTTCTTTACCACAAGACTTCCCAGAGTCTTTAAGACACTGCCATAAAATGTGAATCTCCAAGAGGAGCTTTTCTTTGCAGCATTTCCCTTTTCTCTCTTTCTCTTTTTCTCCTGGAACCCATTTCTCTGCACATCATCTTGCAGGACAACTCTTCCATTTGGTAAAGGGGGCTGTTTAGAACTGGTCCCAGGTTCCTGGTCCCAGGTTTGGGTTCATATCAGGGTCGGGGTGAGCCTAATCCTCCATGGAGTGGCAGCAGAGCAGAGTGCACAGGTGGACTTGGAAGCCAAATAGATCTGGTTTGGGAGGCTCCCAAGACCACTTTTGAGTTGGGCAGTTTGGAGCAAATGCCTTAATGTTCTGCAGTCTTGCATTTCTTCCTCCATGAAATAGGCCTCTTCCTGCCTAGGGTAGTGGTGAGGAGTTAAATGAGATTATTACAAAGCACTTAGCATAATGCTCATCAGAGTGAAATTTCAGTAAACGGTAATAGTTGTATTTAATTTTGGGAAGGGTCTAGGTTTTTTTCTTTCTTTGGTCATCCTATGTGACATATGGGATCTTAGTTCCCCAACCAGGGATTGAACCTGTATCCCCTGCATTGAAAACTTGGAGTCTTAACCACTGGACTGCCAGGGAAGTCCCAGGGATGGGTCTAGGTTTTGTTTGTTAGTGTTGACATTCTTTAGGCTGGTCCAGCTCTTCACTGGGGTGGAGCGTTTTGCAACTCAAGGGGCATCCCCATTTCCAAATTTGTCTCTTGACTTGCGGGGTCTGCAGTGGCAGAAATAATTTCAGATGCCCCCCTCCGCCAATGGGCTCAGGCTATTGCTTTCCTCCAGATCTGATTGGAGAAGCTCAGGCCAGGGTCCTGGTGAGCTTGCGAGTGAAAAGAGGCAATACCTCCTGCCAAGAGGTGCTGCGGGAAGCTGTCACTCACAATATCTTTATTTCTTTTTCCTTTATCCTGCCTTTACAGGACATGCAAAACATCAACACAAAGGCTGACCTTTAGTTAATGTAGCAAACTATATTAGAAAAGGGAGTTGAGCAGATAATTATTTCTTACATGTTGCCATTTTTTTCATCACAATGTTGAAGATTCATTTTACATTAACTAAGACTTTTTATAAATTCCATGGAGAAAATGAATAGTCTTGTGATAATGTGGCATCTTTTTGGGCCCAGTGCATTAGACTGCTGATACATAAGGGACTATTTATTATCAGGAGTTCATATTACCTATAATAATCATTATTGAAAACATAGCTTTCATAGCCTTGTCTAGATAACCCTGCATGGGTAGTGACAGCATATCAAAGCATTTGATTTACATGTTAATTCAATCTAATTTTTCCTAAACTGCCTCGTTCTTTTTTAATGTGTGGTTTATCCAAAAATACTTGCTTGCATATGCTTTTCCTGCTCATAATCGGGTTGTTTGGAGCTGCCTAATAGGATCCAGGCAAATGGTTGTTTCCCATTTCCTGTAATAGGGCACTCCTAGAGTTACCTACTGAACACGTTCAGATATTTTGTCCAAGTTTGAAAGAGGTGGGTGTAACTTGCTCTTCATGTGCTTATGAAAATCGATATGAATGCTTTTTTTTAAAAAATCCACAGGGATTTCTTCTTTTCTCCAAAAAGACATCTTTTTTTCCTAGCTTTCAAGCTGATTTTTCAGTCTT